CACACAAAATCATTGTTTTATTATAATCAACTGTCTTGTTTATACTTTATTGTTTATTAAAGTAAATGTGTAATTTATTTGTTCAAAAATATTATAGCTATGGACTACAGCATCATGGCATCATTGCCTAAAATTTGTTTTTTGTGTGTCTTACTGTACATGATAGCTATGTATCTCTGTTTGTTTAAATATCATGCTGTGTGTACTGATATTTTGTAAATTCTATTTTTATCTCATCCTTTACAGATTTAATCTGTCCACACAACATCATTATTATCTGTGAAACATATAGTGTACCCACAGTACTCCCACCGTCCCAGTACAATATGTACCCACATCCTCAACTCCCACTGCAGCTGTAGCAGACACGTGCCAGGCTCGCCTCTTTGGCCAGAGGCCCTCTTGGTGTTTCCTGACCTATATTCTCTTGGACTCTCCTCTCCCCGGAGTTTTACAGCTTCCTCCTAAACAGCATATACGACTGGTCGTTTTCCTACACAAACATACTGCCGTCTCAGACCGGTTCAAACATGTTGCTTGGTTACGTACGTTTTGAGTCATATGCTGAAAACATAAAGCATAAATAGGCCATCCTTTGTTCACCTGTTTATTGGCACAGACACAGAAGAGGCGATAGTTAGGGTATTGTTTACAAATGATGACACTGCTACCGTTATCGTTATCATTGCCAATAGAGTACTTAATTTATATCTTTTTTTTTCTATCTCAGTCAATACACATCAAGTGAATGGAAGCATTAAGTTGTGTAAAATGCCATCAGCATGTAGTGTAGCAGAACTTTCGAACATCACTGCGCACGATTTCACCACAGACTGTATGGGCTGCTGCGGTAGTAGTCCAATCACACGTTGCATTAAATCGAAGAACACTTTTTTAGATCTGGGTATAAATATTATTGTTTTGACTGGTTGGACTGTTTCAATACTACTTTGTGCTGGGTTATTTTCTGTCAATACCTTCAAAGTATTGAGTACCGATACCTAACCCTGGCATTAATGCAATGACACAAGCTATCAGTGAATGTGTTTGAGAGAGTCTGTCACATCTGTTTCTGGATCAACAACAATTCTAAAACAATGACAGGTAAAAAAAAAAAAAAAAGGCAGAAAACTGTATTTAAGTGTGACTTCAGTGTATAGATTCAATATTCTCACATATTCAGGCAGTAAGCTATCAAATATTTCTATATTCAGGCTGCAGAATGGTAAGAAGTTACACTGTGAGGGAAATTAGATAAAATAAATATGGACTTGCAGATGAAGTAGCGCTGGACGATATGGCAAAAGATATCATTTCTATAATTTTCCCCCATTGATCAATATCAATATTTATCACAATGTATAATTTGATAATGCTGCGAGTTTTAAAAGTATCCTGATAATGTCTGACACCTGAAGAAACCAATGATTTTCCAGCTTCCCAAGACACTTGTCGTAAAGTTGGGGCAGAGCAGTTTGAGAAAAATATTTCCTGCCTGGGAGCTTGTACCTGCAGTCTCACACTTTAATATCTTGAACCCCTCTTTCTCCACGGTGCTCATGGGCATCATGTCTTTTGCTAGAAAGTATGACACTGCATTTGTTATGCCTTTGCTCCTTTTCGTTCACTTCTCATACGGGGTTACGGCGGCAAGAGAAAACATTATTGATTGCTGTTTTGGTGCAGCCCTGCTAGCGCTGCCCACAGCAGCAGAAGTGCTCGGCCGCTGAACACTTGTTGGTGGACTTAATGCAGTTTTGGCCCAGATTTTCATGCTCTCAGTGTGGTCGCTGGGATGCCACCTTTTCAGGTGATGAAAAAGATATGTTTTGTTTCCCGTCTTTGTCTGTGCATTGTCAGCTTTCATGTAGCCAAACCACTTCCAAATTATTGACGTTGTGTAGCCTTTTTATCCACAATTTCGTCAGTTTTTGAGGATAACGCGAGCTCTTCTTCAGCTTCACCGATGCTTTGCTGCTCACTTCCACTCATTTTCCCCTCTTCTCGTTATGTTCACGCTACTTTCAATTCCTCCTCACCTCGGCACACTCACTTCAGCACAAACTTTGCCATGAAAAATGGACGTGAACAATGACACGCAGCTGTCTGTTAACTTCTGCTGCATGACACACTGATGGATCGATCAAGATCTATCCAGATTGAGTAAAAACTGCTATAGTTTATCATCGTCATCGACATACATTTTATTGCAATCCCGTTTTGAGATTTTATCGCCCAGCTTTAAGATGTTAAGTTTCTGTGATAAAGACAATAGCTCCAGTATATGTGAGTAAGCAGACGTTGAGCGAATATTCTTTTGCCATTCGATGTTTAAAAGGTCAAGACTGAACTGTGAAGATCAACTTTTAAGTCAACGTGGCAGAAAACTCCTTAAATTTGCTCAAAATAATGTAAAGTTAAAATATAACCACTGCAAACGTCAGCATACAACTGGACCTTGAGTGGAGACTGTTGTGTCTACTGCCAGGTCTACCTATCTAAACATCATTAAGATACCTAATACTATTACAACTACTCAGGATAACTTAATTGATCCCCATGGGACAATTCAGCAAGTCAAAGGTTGGGGGTCAACAGAGCAACAGACGAGAAGTTGGCTGGAATTCAAGGTCTTGATTCAGGACACTGCAGCAGTGTGGATGTCTGCAGGAAAATAAAGGGTAGATTTTCTACTGAATATGGCACCTTGCTGCCTTTAAAGGTGTGATAATATAATTATGCATGTTGGAATTCAGTGATAATGCAATGTGCTAAGGCACACAACATGTACATGTTGTACCTGTGAATGCTCCTCATGAATGAAGCCAGCAGTAAAGCAGCAAAGCCACCCACTCATAGCTCATGCTTCCTCTTCTCTCATTTTGCTCTACTACCCTCGATGAAACCGAATACAGTACAGCACTGTTCATTGTGCGCAAGGTATGAGGGTGGTGATGAGTTAACTTTCCCTTTTCAAATGCCACTGACTGAAAGCAGACTGGACTCTGAAGTCTGACGAATCAACCCTGGAAATTGAGAGGGGTTGATTGAGCTCAACGGGTCTGTCTGTGTGTGTCTGTCTTAGTTTGTGTTTGTAAGAAACGTGACCATGTGGAAATCATTAGATGTGGGCTTATTCAGCATGCTGGCATATATTTGTTTTTGCACGTGAGTGTGTGGACTGTTGTCTGCCACCTCCAGGTTCAGTAAGTCAAGCACCGCACCCCCGACCTCGACACACATCACAAACCCAATATAACCTGGCTGAGAGATTAAAGGCACAGAACACAGCATCCGGGAGGAAACAGCAGCTGTTATCATGGCTGCCTGTAGGTGTGGTAGTCACACATCACACACTGTAAAATGTTCTGAGAGACACTGCATCGTCTGTTCATGTCCAGTCTGAACCAGAGTTTTCCACCACAAACACTTTATGTATGTAGCGATGTTTGTTTACAGTCCTTCTTGTGTTTATTTGTAGAAACGTTGTGAGGACTGCTGGAAATTACAACTCAAAAGATGATAACCTGTTGATTATGCATCACTGTGGTTACAATTTGATTATATAAAAGTGAGGTCTTTAAATTTTGTTGTGGTTATAGCTGTACAAGGTAAGGACTTTTTTGTAGAGACACACCTGCCTTGACATCCTAAAGCTTCAGTGTCATACTTTAGTTAGCAGCTGAATCAAAGCCTTTGTGATGCAAGAAATGATCAAAATCTCATTCATGTTCTCATGATATCCAACTTAACTCATTATCCAACTTCTGATTTTCCCAATTCAGTTTATGAGTGCAGCACTATTTGGGAACCAAGTGTCGAATTTCTAATGTAGTTAGAGAGGAGGTTTTCAAATAATGTGTTCCTGCGGCTGCTTTTAGATGTAAAGCAATTAGTTGAGTAATTTATCAACAGAACATGTACCGGCAACTAGATTTGCTTGTTCCAGTTTTTTGCAGCTTTTCTCCGTTTTATGTAATGTAAGTTGAGAATCTTTGGATTTGGACTATTGGTTGGACAAAATAAGCAATTTTGAGATGTTACTTCAGGCCCTGGGAGACTTTAAAAGGCATCTTTTGTTATTTTGGTTAATCAGAAAGATAACCAGCACATCAATCAATGAGGAAAATAATATATAATCAGAGCTGTAACTGCATCACAGTGTGAAGCTGTGTAATTTTATGAGCTTGACTAAATGAAGTGAATTATTGACGGGATGGTGGGAAATCTAAAATTCTGTGGTGCAGTTTGGAAAATGCTTAAGTGCACACAACTTTCAAGTCAGTGGAATAAATCACTTATTGGGTACTACAAGAATCCAAGTTCACTACACACCTGGAAAAAAAGCAACTTGCCATACTCCGGCAAAGTGCCATCAAACACATTGTATCTTTGTGTCTTAACGCCTCTTATTCCTCGATATTTTTTTAGATGACGCTTCGCCTCGCCTGACTTTATGAGGCTCTGAAAAACACATCAAAGGAGTTATGCAAATTGACTGTGACACAGGCAATATAACCTCCTACATGAGTTAAAAAGCAGTACTGGCATTGGATTTAGCAGCTCAGCTGCAATTCAAAAACCTGACCAGCAGACATTTAGAGAATTCTAGAAATACATTATTAGCCTCATTAGTCACATTTGTAGATACAGAGACCTACAGCATCACACTGTGAAGTGACACTCGACCCGCAGAGCAGCACAGGACCCCTGGCAGTGCATACAGAACTGCTGAACACATTAGTCGGTTAATAGGCTACTTAAAACGAGTAGGAGAGAGAGGAGGAGGAGGAGAGTGGAGGAGGAAGAGCCAAAGTCAAAGGGCATGAGGGGGGCAGGGAAGTCACTGACAAGCAGATAGAAAGTATTGAAAGAGAAGCTGAAGAGGGGAGTAGAGCGGGAGGGGGAAGGAGGGGGAAGTGGGAGAGGAGGGAGAGGGGTGAACCTCCTGGAAGACATAAATAGGCGAAAGAGGACTTGGAGACTTGCAGTCACTCCTCTCGACAGCCACATCCATCGCTCTCCTCTCCTCTTCTCCTCACCTGCAGCCCTCCTCTCCACTCATCTGCTGCAGCCCTCCATTCATCTGGAACCCTGAGCTACACCAGTGAGTAGTTTCTGCACCACATCCTCATCCTGTCGCCACAGCACAAAGATCCTTAAGTTAATGTCAGCTGTACTATAGAGAGAAACTAAGTATGCATGTATAATTACTGGCAATTATTTCTGCAACTGGGGAATTTTTATGCAATCTTATTTAAGTGAAAACAAATGCAGACAGAGCAAGCCAACAAATGACAAGCAAGTGTGGATGTTACTGATTTTATATGCATGCAATGTGTTACATTTTGGAGCAATCAGTGTTGGAATGAAATGCCCAAAATTAAAATGACTACTAGATTAAGAGCAAAACTTCTTGCGGCTAGCAAGTCTACAGATTTAAGTACTTGCACTGAGCAAAATTTATACATTAAGTGGTCTGCTTGATTGAGCAATAAACTAAAACTGCATATCACTACATGTGCATGCTGTTCATGTATTTACCTCTTAGAAGCAAAGATGTGCTTCATTTAAAATGAATGCATGACACACAGGGGAACACTTAGCTCAATGACTCTTCATTAATCACTCATATTCACAGAGGAGATTTTAAAATGCACTGTTTAAAGAAAAGGACTTGAGAGAGAACACCCAAACTAGTCAGGAGTCACTGAAAGAGTTCAGTGAGGTTGCAGGATGAGTCCCATGTAGCTGCTGAGGATGATATGATGAAAGCTCGGAAAAGTCAGCTGGCACATCTGTATTCTTTGAGGCAGGAATGCGGAGCTCACCAGGCTGTAACTATGGCAACGACACAAACCAAACTTTCACCATTAGCATCTAAAGTAATGCAAGATCTCCCCCTGCCAAGCCGACACAGCTTAATTTGGTTTACAAGTCTAAACAGTGGAAAAACAGCAGAGATGGTTTAAGTGAGAAATCTTTCCCTCTGACTCACATGGCCCACTTGTTAAACTCGACGCTGATGCTGCAGCCAGACGCTTTGCCCTTTCACCAATTGTCCTTGTCAGTCTTGTCAAAATCAGTGAGACAAATGATAACTACCTGTAAATCAGGCTGTTGTAAAGCCTTTAAGGTGCACAGGGACAGAGAAAATGTGTGCAAAAAGAGTGACGAAATCCTTTTTGGCAAAACAATATTAGTTGAATCCTTAGAAAAAAGACTTTCGTGGTAACAGCTGATAAAAGGGTGGTGTTGCAACAGCAGAGCAGAGAGCATTAAAAAGTTTGTAGTATCTGGCAATCACACTTGTGCACATTTGCAGCTGGATGACTCAGCTTGACAGAAATATAACCACTGACTTTTCTCCTGTCTTTGTCCACCCTCGCCTCCTTCAGGTCCTTCATCCAACCCCACATCAGCCCTCACTATCATGGACACCACAAGGAAAATGCTCTCCATCTGTGAGGCACTCTACCACCTTATCGTCATGATGCTGACACTGGGCCAAGGAGTTCATTGCATGCCTGTTCCTACTGACGTCCCCATGTGCACAGCCCCAGACACTGCCCAGTACAGGCTAACGTTCTCCGGCAAGTGGACCCAGGCAGCTTTCCCTAAACAGTATCCTGTCTACCGCCCCCCTGCACAGTGGTCAAACCTCATTGGTAAGCGCACAGCAAACCAGTGTCCAACTGGTGGTCACAGTATTGGCAGCAGATGTGGGAAAGTAAACTGATTGCATGAGTAACAGTAGCAAAACTACATACAGAGAGATATATTATAAATACAAAGTTTGTTTGAAAGAAGAAAATATACTGACAGATGTTTCTTCCCATTAAATGTCACTGATCCTCTCAATACTTCACTTAATATACTGCAAAATATTAAGTTATACAACTTGATTAATATCGACAAACAAGAAACGACAACCTTCTTTCTACATCCTTTGGCAGAGCGGTATATATAAACTGACTAATACAGTTAATCTGATGACTGCAGGCTATTACCTGTTCCAACAGCTGACTTCCTTTTCCTCTACTCCCTGCTCGTAGGGGTGACCCACAGCTCTGACTACCACATGTGGCAGCGTAATGAGTTTGCCAGCAACGGAGTGAGGGAGTTTGCGGAGAAAGGCGAGGCCTGGACGCTCATGAAGGAAGTCGAGGCGGCCGGCGAACGCATCCAGAGCGTTTATGGGGTCCTCTCCGCTCCTGCTGTTATGGGAGGCACAGGCCAGACGAACACTGAGTTCGAGGTCTTTGCCAGGCACTCCTATGTAAGTCTCTCAACACCTGGTTCCCCTCAATCTGGGTCAGCACATTAAGTGTGTTAAAGGTTTTTTTCTGATGGGTGAACATGGGTAACAGTGTGGTGAGATGCTTCCCTTGCCTAGGTCAGACAGATTAAGGATTTCTAAAAAATGTTGGCAATCATAGCACTCCCAAGACCAAGGATAGTTTTTATCTTATCTTCGTAAGTAGTTTTAGCCATCATTCTTATCAAGTTTAATGATATTTTACTGCCCCTACACAGAGCTCTACAACTGAGTGCACAGATTATGCAGATTTCCAGTTTGACTGTGTTATAAACAGATTATTTAGAAGTGAAATTCAAAGTCTTTGTAAGAATTATGCCCCAACTATCTGCTGTAAACATCCATTGCACTTTGCAGAATTCCAAATTGGTAGAACTTTGACCTCCACAAACCAATATAATGGACATTTTGGGTGCATTCACTCCTGCTAAACACCCAAATCAGTGTTTTACATAGCTCAGCAGTGTGCCTACCCCTGTGAACTCTGTTGTTAAGTTATTTCCACTGAGGTTGTTACATAATCTCAGCATAACAATGTGACTAACAATCACCAGAACCATAAAACTAAGACCACGTTGTAAACTCACCAAAATTACCTAATATTTTCAAGGAAAACATTTAACACCACAATAAAACCAGCTCCAGACTGTTTTCCATAATGCTTCACCCTGAAGAGCGCTTCCAAAATTTACCAAGCCTAATTTATGCCTCTTCAAATTATGTAAAACCTTGCAGGAGTTTGTCATTAAACTTCCATCTGATGAGTCTCTGGGTAGGTCATAAAGTTCGAGGACACATCTCCCCAAACACAATGTTAGGCTTGGACACAAGACGAGACAGAAAGAGGGAGTCCAAAGTGTGGTTTGGAGGTGAGAGAAAAGTAAAACAGGCCAGTTGGAGACAGAAGATGCTCACCAATACAAAACGAACTGTACTCTTGTACTTATGTAACACCACGTGTAGGCGGGTGAGTTATTGGATTACGTATGGTGCTGAAGACTACAAGTTTGAAAATGAAAAAGAATCTGGACATGTGCAGTTAGAAAGAAGTGAGTTTACCAGACCTCTGTAGCATCTTGGCTTCAGGCTAACGGCTCCAGGCTACATTAGCAGTTACTAGCGTAACACACATAAATCTTTATCTGAGGTTTCAGCTGTTGATTTTGGGTAATGTAAGCAGCAGGAATGAATGGAATAGAAAAAGACTGTAGAGGGGCAAAGTCCCTACCCTTACGATGTCCCCAATTGGACCTCATTTTCACATGTATGGTAGTTAATGTTGAGAGACAAATCATTTTTTGATCCCATTTGAATTGAGCCATACACATATGACTTAAAAGATCATTTTGCAAGACAAAAAAGTCACAGATTATTGTAGTATAATTTGGCATTGTGTGAAACTGCTCAGTGAACTACATCTCTCTCTACAAGATATCCGTCACTAATAGCAGCTAGCTAGACAACTTACCTATGTTCCACACACAAATGTGACATTATCTTATGACATCACTTATGCAATTTTTGTAGTCTTTCTAATTAGGTATTTTCATAGTCTTATACTTTAACGGTATTACAACAAACTTTCTCTGACCGCTACCCTCAGCTTTATTTTGAGCCGCACAACCCCTTTGCAACTAGCATTAGCCCTGCTATCGGTGCTAACTGAGGTCACAGTGATAACAGAGTTAACAATGGGGTTTTGCAGCTCAAAACTGGGTTGCTTACTCACCGGAGTAACCTGGGGGGAGACAGGAAGGTGGGCACAATGTTTCCACAATAACGCTGATAGGACGGCATTACTAGGATGATCGCCAAATGAGTGGCGGCGCTACCTAGTTCCCACCAGACCCAGGTGGTGCACACTGCAGTAAACTGAAGGGTGTCCAAATCAACCAAACATATTCTCTGCAGCTAACCAATTATTAGCCATATTAACCACTGACATCCCTAATTTCAACTCAGAGCAGAATAACCCACTTCTATCTTTGTGGCTTTAACCCACTGCTCAACTGACACGACCTTAGGTTAAAGAGTTATCAACTGACAACCACTGAGACCAAATGATATATAGTGTCCTAAAACAACCCTTTTCCATTCTCTTTCCCACCCATGCCTCTCTCCTTATCTCCAACTCTCACTCTGGACCACCTCCTTTCTCTCTCTCTATGCTCTATCTCCCACCCCACGCTCTGCTTCCTTCTCTCTATCTGCAGCTGTCGTTTATCGTGCGTCTCGTTCCAAGCCCAGATTGGTTTGTGGGTGTGGAGAGCATTGACCTGTGTGACGGGGACCACTGGAAAGAGAATGTGTCGCTGGACCTTTTCCCATATGACGCAGGAACTGACAGCGGGTTCACCTTCTCTTCACCAAACTTTGAGACCATCCCACAGGATAAAATCACACAGGTGGGTCGGACTGAGCCAAGTGCAGCATCCATCAATCCAAAGCCAAAAACCACTGATCGTGAAAACAGGGACATGAACCCAACATTGCTTGATAAGACCAGCACATTGTTTTATACCACGTTTTGTGTGTAAAGAAGCCGCCATATTGTTGAAATTTTGTCAACTGTGTTGTTCCTTCCTAGATGAGCTCTTAGTACCCTAAATACTGAAGACAAGATTATCTTATTTGCCAAAAATCCTGTATTCCTTTAGCATTAACAATGGGACGTTGCTATAAACTTTTATTCCTTGTCCATTTCCCCTCCATAGATCACTTCTTCCTCACCTAGCCACCCCGCTAACTCCTTTTACTACCCCCGCCTGAAGCATTTGCCGCCCATCGCCAAGGTAATGCTGACCAAAGTAAAGAAGACCAATCAGATCATCAGCCTGCCTGTCGAACCCACCCAATCCAACCAACTGCCAACAGGGAACGAGATCGAGGACACGCTCATAAGTAAGTCTGAAGATCGTAATTACTCAAAGATCATAAATACAAATTTTGCACTAGCTGAATCTTGGTATGTTGAAGAGTAAGACTACACAAGGTACCTTTGAAAGGATGGTTCGGATCTTTTGAAGTGGGGCTGTATAAGATACTTATTCATTGTCAGCATCTTACCTACGGTAGATGGCGGTCAGAAACAGGCAGGAAGACGTACATGGAAACTAAGTAATGTATGGCTGTGGAGAGGTCAGCAACAAGATTTATTTTAGTCACCTAAAAAAATCTATATTATTTTAAGTTTATGCTATATCTAGACTATTTTCGCCACTTAACTTTGCTGTCATACAGTGAATTCCGATGGGGAAGACTCCAGACTCCATTGGCAAAAAAAGCAATTGTAGCCTGCAGAACACAGGAGTTGCTGGTCTACTACTGCCTCGATCAGTTAGTTTGTTCACGTTGATGTGTGACTTTGGTGTTTAAAAGAGTTGGTCTGGATTCACTTAAGTCACACAATTACACAAACTTACAAACTAATCAAGGTAGGGGTAGACCAGCAACTCCGGTGTTCATCGAGCTAAAATGACCGTTTTTGTCAATGGATCTGGTGGCTTTGACGAGAGCATAAATGGGGAACAAAGCCGTTAGCAGCTTCCCCTGTCAGAAAGAGCTGTCTGCATCGAGGTCAAGTGGTCAAAATATTCTCAGTATAGCGTACACTTAAAGTGATATTGATTATCTTTAGGTAACACTTTTTTTAGGGTGGATAAAATGCGTTTTGCTGCTGCCCCCATCTGTAGGTGTACATTGCTTGGCTTCTGTGGTAGTATTCCTGCCTGCTTCTCCATAATGGGGGCGTGCAGACTGCCATTTAAAGTCGGTACTACACAGACAAAACACTTCATACAACTCTACTTTAAAAGATCTGAGCTTTCCACATGAGTTCCAGGCCAGAACGTCCAATAGCAAAATATGACTATTTTACAGGTTTGAGATAAAATCAGATTATCTAATACTTGCATATATACATAGCCAGCACAATATAATCAACAAGGTTATATAATCAACGGGATTGCATCACCATTCCTGTCCTTATCTGCCTCTCTCCATTGCAATCCCACTGATCAAACAATATATACATTTAAAAGAAAATAAAGCGTACAGGCTCTAAATTGTGCCAGACCTGATGAAGGATTTCACACAATGCTAGGAGCTTGGGTCTCAAGACTTCTGCTGACTCAAATGAAAGCATTTGGGAACCATTACAGGCCACACACAAGCTCAATTACTTTCAAACTGAAACAAGAGAAGCCAAGTGAATGCAGGGAATCAGAAAATGCCAGGGGCACATCTGGCATCCAGTGGAAAACTCTAAAGGCGAGAAACTGAGAAAGTTAAACAGCATTTTAAGAAAACTGTACATAGAAACTGTACTGTCTGCATCCTATTTTGGGTCATGACCCAAAATAGGATGCAGACACGTATATTTTAAGAAGTCCTAGATCCATAGGGTGAAGCTGGATTTACTTATGCTGGTTCCCAGACTGTTAAAATTTAGGACTCCCTGTTGTAGAGATTAGTGGTAACAGTAAAAAAGAAAAACAAAAAGGCCCAACTGCAAGTAAGAATAGGAAGGCAGCTTGGAAAAATATAGATGAAGAGTGTGTCAAACTAGAAGTAAAGCCAACAGTGCAGTACTCAAACAACCTGCCTGTGTGACTGATGCTCTCCAAGGAGGGGGAAAATAACCTTTTATAAAAACACAATTTACCACAGAAAGTCTTAACAGATGACTTGACCAGGGAAGGGTTTTGAGGGCAGGAATAAAGAAACAGATAGTGTGTCAGCCTGGCAATAGAGCTGACAGCGCAGTCGTCAGATTCAGTGTTCAGGGTGACTGTAAATGTTTGACTCAGCATCACAGTTTACAAGTCCGTTCCCCTGACTACACAATAACAAACAACAGAGAGGGGCCAAGAATCTGTTGGGGTTTCCTGCCTTGATCCCAGTGCTCCATCCTACCCCTGGCTGTTCATCCTTACCTCCCTCCATCTTTTTAATGCCTGGAGACACAACCGTCATTACAGATTAGAAATCACCTGCTCTGGATTGTATGTGAAATACAAAAACGATAAATCACATTTGCCTCTTACAGCACTGTACCACCTCATCCTTCCCTCTGTCCTTAATGGACACACAAGGTGAAGGCAGATATGACTTTCTTGTTCCATCCCTCCATCCGACCGTCGATCCATGTAGCTTCCGTGCTGCCTCCCATCCTTCTGCTTTACTCTTTAACCGACAACTAAGTCTGTGATACGAATCAGCTGCACGCAAGGTTGGCTGAGGTAGCCCGACAAGTTCACCATGTTGAAGACAGGGATAGGCCTGTCACTGTAATTACATTATTGACTTATTGAAGTCAGCAAAAATGATCAAGGTCATGTCTGTATATCGAATGACACTACGAATTTGTTTACATCAGAATGTCGCCAACATGATGCTGGAATAAACAGCAGTGTTTTCACGACCATTAAGACTTGGATGCAGCCCCTGCGCTGAGAGACAGCTGAGAGATATATAGCTAGTCATTTCTGGTTAAATTGGTTAAGTTCATCCTCTCTTTGCAAGGGTGTACTTGCATTATTATGGTATTATCGTTCTATGAATGGTATAAAATGCTCTCAAAATGACAGTATCATTAATCGCTATTATTTCTGGGATGATATAACATCCAATAAAACTATTTATCCAGAAAAGCCAAGGAGAATGAAAGCAAGCAATAAATAAGATGAGATGACAGATGAGCTCCCTTTCCCTGTATTACTGTACAGCTGAGGTGCCTTTTAGCAAGGCTCTAAATCTCTTTCTGCTGCAGCTGACTCATTAGGTGGTAGCACTGTTTACTGTGAGGCTAAACTGATGTAAAGCAAGCACAGTCAGCACAAACTCACTCAATAAATGAAGGTTAAAAAAATTCAGTTATAATTATACTCCAGCAGCGCGACCACTGCCAAGAATTTATAACGAGAAGCTATGGGTTCATAAAGAGCTGCACACACAGCATGCCACCATTGCTTCTAGTTCCTATTCATTATTTTATTCACTTTTTTTTTTTTTTTTACAGTTTTAAAAGGGTTAAAGAGCAGTCATGTCTCCTATTATGACTTATCCCTCCCCTTTCCATTCAAACCTATAAAAGGAAACTCACAAATTATAACCATTTGCCAATTACAAACAGACAAGCATCAACTGTGCAAATTTACAAACTAACCCTTAATGTCAATGTGATTATAATCCTCTCCTCTCACTGCAGATACCCCTCTGGACTGTGAGGTGTCAGTGTGGTCTCCTTGGGGCTTGTGCAAAGGCAAATGCGGAGACTCAGGCGTGCAGCACCGCACACGCTACATCATAATGCACTCAGCCAACAATGGATTAGCCTGCCCCCTGCTGGAGGAAGAGAGGAAGTGCTTCCCCGACAACTGTTTATGACTAGGCCAGGAGAGGAGGGAGAAGAAAGAGCGCAAGGAGAGGAGGGAGAAGAAAGAGAGGAAGTCCAGGAAAGGGAGGAAAGGACGAAGGCGGAGAAACAACAACAACAAGAGGTCTGCGGTGTATTCACATGAGGCATAAATATGATGACTCCCTTATTTCCTCCCTGACTACGCCGTCCGAGGAGATGACTGATGTACTGTTTGATTATCTGAGTGTTTAACTGCAGAGCAAATCTCATCCTCAAGTCACACTGATAAATCTGACAGCACGAGTGAGGTGTAGTTTGGCAAACTGCTATTAGACACCGACTCAGTTTTGGCAGATTATCAAAATTGTCTGGGGAACAGAACAATGCCGTTCTAAACACAGCCTTTAACTGAAATAAAACTGAAATATAAACATTTGTTTGCTCACAGTGGATTAAAACTCCTCGCAGCTTTCGTCAAGCAGAGTTACAAAGAAATCCAAATAAATGATACTGAAGATCTGAAGTCCCTACATCCAAAAAATACTTAACAGAAGATCAAAATAATGTAAGCTGTAGCACAGGGGAAAACATGATGCCTCAATTGTTCCATCGGCAGAAGTTAAGTAGTACATGCAAAAAAGCAAGTCAGACATAGAAATGAATAAAAGGTCCTCCCTGCATTTAAGACATAATGTGTACACATTGTGTTTGCCCTCCTAAAGACAAAGAATATATTTATTGACAGGATTTTAACCTGTAGTGTACAGTATATCAAATCTGAAAGTAATAAGTTGTATGCCTTTATGTTATTGAGATATTAGTTCAGGTTTTTTTTTTGTAAAAAATGCTAAAAATGTACAAAAATGTATGTTTTCTGTATGGTCAATAAAGTGTAAATACATCTTATGATCTTGTGACCTTATTGATAAGTGTTTATTAAAAAAAAAAAAAAAGACTGAAGGAAGGTACTACATCAACAATTGTGAGTTAAATTGTTTTCCATGATACCGATTCAAATCTGTCTTCAGTGCCTGTGCTAAGTGCAATTTCACCTTCAAATCTGAACCACACATCTGGGCTCCCGAAGTCGTATTACTGAGGCCAGGGCTTGAGGATCAAATTGAGTGTAGAGAGAACTGTTTATTTGAACTGGATGACCTGAGTTCAAGCCCCAGTGTTGGCTAAGATTCACGCTGATGAAGTGTCGGTGATAAAACTGATGAATGTGCTCACCAACTATTTAAAACAGTTCACCAAATGTTGATTTAGTTCACAAGGCCTAGAAGTTCGCAGAGCGCACTTCACGCTGTGATGTCCAGTGCAGCGCATCCCACTATAAAGCAGGGATACCATTTAATAGGCAGAACAGACACCAGTTACACATAAAGTGACTTCTTTTTCTTGGAAGGATGATGACAACACAATTTGAAACAGAACGAAAAAAAAAACAAAACAGTGAACGATATTGGCGTAAATATGTAAAACAGATAAAATTACCTGAGAGCCCCCCCCCCTCCCTTTCCACCAAGCAACATAGAAAGCATACTGCGGATGACAGATTGAACAGCAATAAGAACTGAACATCTGGTGAATGAGGGAGCTCCCTGGAAAATTACTGTGACAGAGAAACAGGAGCAGATCCAGTTTCTGGCTTTCCTTAGTAGTTTCATCCGCTAACTCAGACAGAGGTAAGTGTGAAGTACACGCCAAGTATACAGTGCTAAATGATGAAGAGTACATTAAGCTATGTATGCATGACCAGGGATTTTACTGCTATGCCAACTAGGTTTCTAGGATTTTGTTTTGGTATGCTCAGGATACATGAAAAAGTGAAAAGGAGCATATTTTCTGCTACTCAGAAATGTTTAAAATACACAAACAACAAGATCAAAACTCTTGTCACAGGAAAACACAATTTAAAATGTTTTGAAAATGGCAGAAGGAAATATTGTATGAATTGACTCAGTGGTAAGAAGCACTATTTGGTTCACAGTGAATTGCAGACTCTTCAATGATAGCACAAAATGTTTCAAATAAACTACAGAGAGACACGATATAAATCCACTGTAGTTTAAGACTGAATCTACCATTCTTAAGCCAGCTGTATCAAACGTATTGATTTAGTATTCACACTTTCTGTAAAACTACTGACATGTGGGAGGAGAAGGAAATCTGATTCTTTGCTTACTTGAGGAATAACAACTTTTGCAGATGCTGAACATGAGAAGGCTTGATTCTGTGTGTGGAGGCAGGGGGGGTTACTTTATAAGTGACCTCATCTAAGGTTAGCACATGGCAGCTATTGTATGTAATGGTCTGGAGTACAATTTCCACTCAATTTCCAAAAATGTTTGAACTCTTTCATACTGTAGTAACAGACACAGTGACACTGGTAATCATTACTGCCTAAGAGGTTAAAAGGTGAACACCGTATTTTACTATAAAGAAATAAGAAATAAGTCAGCAAACCAGATGAGAAGTGCATTTATCTAATTTATCAAGATTAACCATCAATCATTAAACTACAGTCTGGTGTGCTCGTACATATTCTCACCCAGGAGGGACAACCAAAGCGGATAAACACTTTTGTCGATATGTTCTTCTTGCATCTTGTTGATAGCTAGTGATCTGTCCCTCAGAGCACAGTTCTGCATCTATCACTTTAGATTCAGTGTGGTAAATGGAGAGTAGACACTGGGCCCCACAGTGAAAATAAGTCTACTGCAGCATCAAAATTGAGCATAACATTAGTTCAAGCAGGACATGATGTCAAGCTCAGCTCACATCCCAGCTACATCAGCTGATCTCAAACAGCCCAATCAACTGATGGAGCAGCTGATTGATGGAAGGGAGTCAGCTGATAGATCACATGATTCCTTTCTAAGCAACCAATTGGTGAATCTCACTCAGGGCGCCCTATTTAAACTGCTCTGGCCTGCCTACTGTTGCTGCTTTCTCTGCAAGCCGCTCTGCAACCTGACTCCACCCCAGCTTCTCCTTTTCATGCTGTGTCTTACTTATCAGTGTCATTTCTGTTTGTCATTGATGCTACTCTGTTCTGTTCCTGGAGGGTCTTCGCTGCTGCTTTCCCTGCCTTAGGCTTTCCATGTAGGTGCATGGAAGGGCAGGCGGGTTTACTTTCTCTGCCTCTGCCTTTCCTCGTTTGTACGTGGAAGGGCAGGGAGGTTTGCTCTCTCTGTCTCAGAGAGGTTTGCTCTCTCTGCTTCAAGCTTTCCTTGCTTGCACGTGGAAGGGCAGGGAGGTTTGCTCTTTCTGCCTCAGGCCTTCCTCGTTTGCACGTGGAAGGGCAGAGACGTTTGCTCTCTGCCCTTATGCTTTCCACATAGGCGCAGGAGAGAGGCTTTCTGCATAGGCCCGAGTAGTCTCGTGTGACCAGCCTCCCTTACTTCGGAATGGGAGTCTGGGAACATTTGTCTTTTGTTTTGTAATAGAAATGGGCAAGGATATCCAGACCACATGACAGCACTGCCATAGGCGCGGCATGTGTGTTACATGTAACAGAGACGTTGCAGCTCTGCAATATAGCTGAATCAAATGAAATCATATCCACTTTAATCTCTTCTTGCGATACACTGAACACTTCCTTTTCTGTTGTACTACGGACAACAATTCGGGGAACAGCAATTCCGGTGTAGGTGGGTGTAAGGCAAAGCTAATCAGCTGTTGGTAGAGGAAGTATGGAAGTACACAGATTTGGATCCAATCACATCACTGCCGAGGCCATCACTGTCACTAAGGACCGAGAGGCCCCAGAACAAAGCCATACCTCCAAATAAATACTGCAAATGGAAATGAAGTTTTCTTTGACTAAAGTGTTCCTGACTGAACTGGAATTACGTTCTCACAGCTATACTCCTCCACCAACTAGTCAAGTTATAGTTTACATCCATGTCAGTCCAGACTCATATGTAGCAATCACAGTAAACAATGCTTCCAATATGGATGTTGCTGCAAAGAAGCTACAAACGCTAACACATGGATGCGCCACACACATCTTCAACACGCCAGCACAGAAGATCAATACAGTCATCACAGTTTCAAGGTAAGTGTTACCAATACAGGTCCCAACCAAATGTCTCCCCTTCTGTTCCGGAGTTGTTGAATGATGTCCAGAAAAGTGTTTTTGCAGAACATTATGATGTCACAGTCAAGTTGACCTTGACTTTTTGGATATAAAATGTCATTATTTCATCCTACTAGACTTTTATGTCAAATTCTGTCATTATTTATGTATGAATTCTTAAGTTAATGCCAAAAATGTGTTTTGTGAGGTTACAGAGACCTTGGCCTTGACCACTAAATTCTAACTAAATCAGTTCATCTTTTGGACCAACTAGAGGTTTGTGCTAAATTTGAGCAAATTCCCTCAATGTGTTCTCCAGATATTGCTTTCACGAGAATGGAATGGACAGGCGGACAGACAAATGGAAAACATGGTGCCTCGAGCCACAGCTGTCGCCAGCTCACAGTCATAAGAAGTCTACCACAATATTATCATCAACATGTTTAATTCCATGTCCCAAAGCACTAACATTATTATCCTAACTGGTAGATATTTTCTGTATAATTGCAAAAGAAAGTATCTTCCAAGCACACTGTTGGATTATCTGTGTCTGCAGCAAGTGGTCAGTCTTAGTCAATCATTATTCTTAGCAACTTTGCTATTGGCTCCCAGTTCAACCAGTCACAAAATGACCAGAATGTCTTGTCACACAAAGCAGCACCTGTTAGTTTCTCACACCCAAACTGTCTCCCTCACAGCCATCTACTTTAAATATAGGCTACAGAGCATAGGTGTTCAGCTATAGTTGATGAAAAATACCTCAATCTTGAGTTAGAATTTTGCAGATCTACCAAAAAAAAAAAAGTCAACTGGAACTTCAGGCCAAAACTTTGATCACTGTCAATTGTATTGAAATTTAATAACTCATTGTTAACAGAAAATGGGTTTGCGAGGCACTGCCTTTCTGCTCCAGTGTTACCTGATGTTGGCAGCAGCCATGTATTTTGATCTTGGAGAACAGGAGGAAAAATGCATCATAGAGGAGATTCCTGAAGACATGCTGGTCAACGGTGAGTCCTGGAGAGGGGAATATTCCTCCTGAGTGTCGTTTACAATCTCAACAGAGGTAATGAATGTGGAATTAGATTTGGAAAACTGTATCATAAATTGCCACGTGATTGCTGAATTACACAGTAATGTAATATGTATCTCCAGGATAGTGTGTCTCTTAGTTCAGCAAGTGCAAAAGCCATTTATGACTTCCAAACTGCCCATTGAGTTAAAGTGTTTGTGAATACCGATTTGCTCTGTGCCTCAACAACCACATACAGCCATGAAAATAGAAAACATTGTGCACTTGGCTGACATTTGTTTTGAAGTAAAATACTATATTATGTATACACACTGAATATTATTCATTTTAATAAATCCCAATATAAAATGCAGAGCTTATGCTTAATTTAACTCTTATCAAAAATGTTACAAGCTTGATGATGACCTTGAATGCTACTACCAGTGAATCTGTACGTGAATGCACTCATGTGAGACTTACGTTCAGGTTACTTCTTGTTGGAGCCTTGGGATTTGAAGGCGCTCTCCCACTCCCCTCACCTCGGCGTCACTGTGACAGTCAGAGACCCAAACCATGAGGTACTGCACTCACAGGAGAGGTTTATCACCAAGCCAGGTTCACTAAAACATGTGCTCAATGGTTTCCCCATTCAAACCAAACCCAAACAAAGATGAAATGCATTTAACACAGCGTCACTTAAGATCAGTGCGGCACGGTTTGATCCATGAGATCGGATCTCTGTTATTGTACAAGATCATCAGTCTCACATCTCAAGCGTAGCTTTTTGCCTCAGTGGTGGAGAAAGTAGGCTATTCAAATTATTCACTTTAGTAAAAGATTGGTACCACAGAGTAGAAATACATGATTACAAGTTAACGTCCTGGATTCAAAATCTGACTTTAATAAAAGTACAGTACAAGCCAAAAGTTTGGACACACCTTCTCATTCAATGCGTTTTCTTTATTTTCATGACTATTTACATTGTAGATTCTCACTGAAGGCATCAAAACTATGAATGAACACATGTGGAGTTATGTACTTAACAAAAAAAGGTGAAATAACTGAAAACATGTTTTATATTCTAGTTTCTTCAAAATAGCCACCCTTTGCTCTGATTACTGCTTTGCACACTCTTGGCATTCTCTAGATAAGCTTCAAAAGGTAGTCACCTGAAATGGTTTCCACTTCACAGGTGTGCCTTATCAGGGTTAATTAGTGGAATTTCTTGCTTTATCAATGGGGTTGGGACCATCAGTTGTGTTGTGCAGAAGTCAGGTTAATACACAGCCGACAGCCCTATTGGACAACTGTTAAAATTCATATTATGGCAAGAACCAATCAGCTAACTAAAGAAAAACAAGTGGCCATCATTACTTTAAGAAATGAAGGTCAGTCAGTCCGGAAAATTGCAAAAACTTTAAATGTGTCCCCAAGTGGAGTAGCAAAAACCATCAAGCGCTACAACGAAACTGGCACACATGAGGACCGACCCAGGAAAGGAAGACCAAGAGTCACCTCTGCTTCTGAGGATAAGTTCATCCGAGTCACCAGCCTCAGAAATTGCAAGTTAACAGCAGCTCAGATCAGAGACCAGATGAATGCCACACAGAGTTCTAGCAGCAGACCCATCTCTAGAACAACTGTTAAGAGGAGACTGCGCGAATCAGGCCTTCATGGTCAAATAGCTGCTAGGAAACCACTGCTAAGGAGAGGCAACAAGCAGAAGAGATTTGTTTGGGCCAAGAAACACAAGGAATGGACATTAGACCAGTGGAAATCTGTGCTTTGGTCTGATGAGTCCAAATTTGAGATCTTTGGTTCCAACCGCCGTGTCTTTGTGAGACGCAGAAAAGGTGAACGGATGGATTCCACATGCCTGGTTCCCACTGTGAAGCATGGAGGAGGAGGTGTGATGGTGTGGGGGTGTTTTGCTGGTGACACTGTTGGGGATTTATTCAAAATTGAAGGCACACTGAACCAGCATGGCTACCACAGCATCCTGCAGCGACATGCCATCCCATCCGGTTTGCGTTTAGTTGGACGATCATTTATTTTTCAACAGGACAATGACCCCAAACACACCTCCAGGCTGTGTAAGGGCTATTTGACCAAGAAGGAGAGTGATGGAGTGCTGCGGCAGATGACCTGGCCTCCACAGTCACCGGACCTGAACCTAATTGAGATGGTTTGGGGTGAGCTGGACCGCAGAGTGAAGGCAAAGGGGCCAACAAGTGCTAAACACCTCTGGGAACTCCTTCAAGACTGTTGGAAAACCATTTCAGGTGACTACCTCCTGAAGCTCATCGAGAGAATGCCAAGAGTGTGCAAAGCAGTAATCAGAGCAAAGGGTGGCTATTTTGAAGAAACTAGAATATAAAACATGTTTTCAGTTATTTCACCTTTTTTTGTTAAGTACATAACTCCACATGTGTTCATTCATAGTTTTGATGCCTTCAGTGAGAATCTACAATGTAAATAATCATGAAAATAAAGAAAACACATTGAATGAGAAGGTGTGTCCAAACTTTTGGCCTGTACTGTATATAAGTCAGGCTGCTATAGTATTATATTACTGGACTATTTTTTATTGATGCATTAACATAGAAACAGTACTTAATTGTTATAGCTGGTTGAGGTGGAGATAATTTTAAATGTTTTATACACTTTTGGGTAGTTAAAGCTACAACATCATCATATTTTAAATGCTGATCATGTTTTATTTGTAAAATCATAACCTGAAGATTGTACAGTTGTCAAATAAATGAAGTGGAGTAAAAAGTACAAAATTCCCTCTGAAATGTAGTAGAATATAAAGAAGCACAAAATGAAAATGCTGAAGTGAAGTACAAGAATGTCAAAATTGTGTTTGTAAGTACTGAGTAAATGTAATTAGAGTAGCGACTTTCCACGACTGCTTTTTCCCAGCTGATGTGGTCCCAATATAAAACACAATCCTTCAGTTTCATTTCAAATTTTTCTTGGAATTTTCTACAATAGCTAGAATTTCTGGACTTTAGTGAGAGAATTTATCAGTTACACCTGATTCATTTTCACATAATAACCCATCACTTCCTGGTTCTTGGCACTCGACTGACCAAAAAGAGCTACAAGTAACGGAATCACTTTTTCATTTTGTTGACCAAGAACTGGAGAAATGTTGGCCTAACAGTGTCTTTCTTATCCTCTAGGTTTTGATGTCCAAACGCTATGGTAAATTTGCCAAATTCACCTTCACAGCTCACACCTCTGGTCAACACTTCTTCTGCTTCCAAACCAACTCCACAAGGTTTTCTGTCTTTGCTGGACAGAAGCTGGTGAGACCTATGGACACAAACAGAAAGCTAATTTTGAGAAAGAAGGGAAAATGCAGAAACACATACAGTATTAAAATATTATATTGAACACTCAGTCAAGTCTGTAAATTGTATTATTTTTAAATGACCCTCAACTGCTGTAATGTGTTGTACAGAAGCTACATTTGGATGTTCAGATGGGAGAGCACACCATTGACCCTAACAAAGACAAGGCCAAAGAAAACTTGGAGACTCTGGAGAACAGCCTCAGCCACCTCATAGATCAAATGATGTACATCACCAGGCAACAGGAATACCAGAGGGTAAATAAGGATCTTATTGTCCTGTCTGCTAACATAACATGATATGACAGTACATGTGAGTCAATCGCACAACAGGGAGCTCAGAGGAAAAGGCAGGAGCGGTGTGCTACCTGATGTATACGGGAATGATACAAAGCTAGTTTACACAGAGTGTGAGTCACCACAATTGACTGCTGTTACTGCTAGTGAGGATAATCATGCAAGCATGCACTGAATTCAACCATACTGTACGGCATGTTGTCTTCCTTTGTTACAAAATAGAAGATTTTTCCAGATTTTTTTCTTCAACTTTTACATTTTCCTCTCATTCAGGAGAAAGAGGAGGTGTTTCGTCAGATCAGTGAGGACACCAACAGTAAAGTGCTCTGGTGGGCTGTGGTGCAGACCTCTGTGCTGCTGTCCGTTGGTTTCTGGCAGATTAAACGACTCAAAGACTTCTTCATCGCCAAGAAGCTGGTCTGAGGATGACCTCCGACCTGTCAGCTCTGAGCCTGATGACCTTGAACCATGTCCCACCTATACTTGTGTATATACTACAACAAGTATATCTGATGCATGAAAACACTTGTATGGATAAATGATAAATGATGGATAAAATGATTAAATTGTGTGGGTCGGAGATGATGACCATGTCAAAACTACAGTAATTTTTCTTTTTCTTGTCCTCCTCATTGTTGTTTTTCACCTCTGTTGCCCTTAAAACTGGACTACATGGCTAAAGCAAATATGTACAACATATAAAAATGTCTCTCAGGACTGAACACAAAACAACACAGAATATTCAATAATAAAAGCCATTTGAATAAGAATTATTTTGTGATTATTTCCCTTTTTTAAACAATAAGCAAAATGAAATAAATTGCTAATTTTATGCATAACTTACCTCATGTTCACATATTAAGCTAACACTACTTGTCAGAGGTCTGAATACTTAATCTCAACAGACAGGTATGTATTATAGCTAGCTATGTAACCGCAACATAGCTAACGTTACCTTTAAAAAACTGACGTCAAGATGCTAGTAACGATAAATATAAGGGAAATAATTAATATAGCAAAACTGACAGTTACTTTAGACGATTAGTCAACAGACAAACGCCTATGTTTCTGTAACGTTGCTTAGTTTTAACATAAATTAAGGTAACTTACATTACTAGGTCTTGACGTTACTTTCAGCACTCTTTTCTCCCAGAGCCGTTATGTACAGTTATGTAGATTAGCTAGCTAGCTAGCTACCGAAGTATCGGTAACATAGCTAGCGTTGGCGTTACCAAACTGACGTCCTTAGATGCTAGTAACGATAAATAAAAAAAAAAAATTAATAAAGCTAGGCAGGTAGTTACTTTACATTATTAGTCAACAGAAAACGCTTGGGTTTTGGTAACTTAGTTTTGACACTGATTAAAAATAATTTACAAGACTAGCTCTGAAGGTTACTCTTAAGCACTCGGTTCTCAGAGCCGTTATTTATGCTAGCTAGCTAAAAGTTAGCATCTAGCCTCACTTGCAGCGGGATGACTCAGGTAACGTAATCCAACGTTACATGTACTTAACGTTACTGTAAGAAGGTGTAAGCTGTTGTATGAACTTGACATAAACTTAACAAAATAACAATGTTACAGAAAGCGGCTTAAACCCCCAATTAATGTGACAATTGTAGTAACTTAACACCTAGCTAAATTCGTTTATGCTAACTCCTAATTTAGCAACAACGGGTTAGCAAAGACAGTTAACGTTAGCTTATTTCCTCGCAGGTCTTTAGATGCCTTACTGGATCTGCTGCAACTCCTGCTTCCTTTCGCCCAGCGCTGACAGAAAACTAGCTGTCACCACCTGTGGCCATGTCATCTGCAGTGTCTGTTTTCAGAAAGGTAGACACAGATTTATGTTGCTAACTGACAGTCCAGTCAATCACTGTTGGGTTTGTTTGCATGTGTTTAAAACAGTGCAGCACCATACAGTAGCTTCACTTCAGTTGTACCATGCAGGTGAAAATGTGATTAAACAGGGACATCTGTTGGATTGAAAGTGTTATTGCAGAGCTTATGACCCAGTTTTACACCAAGTGTGTTCAAGCCAGGAGCTCCTAACTAAACTTTTCCATGCATAAGACACAAAACCACCATTACATAAGCTATCCCTGAGAAAGACACATTTGAGACCGTGTTTATTATCACACTGGGTCTGATATTGGCCGTTATGTAACAGCAGGAGGAATGAAATCTCTGATCCAGTCATGCTCTGTTAGCGGGTGCTTCTCCTCATATCCTCCAATGAAATAAGAGTGAAATTACACCATTCAACATTGGCTATGTGATTTCTTGAAGTACTCCTGCAGGTCCCTTTGCCCCACTCTGGGAGCCTCTTATCATATTCACAAGCCACAGGCCTGTTCCTGATGGGTCTAATCTCAACCTCAAGAGTTTGATCATGTTTTAATTTGCTCTGGCTTCCAGGGTTAGACCAAGGGATTACACTTAATTAATTTTGGGTCTCGGGCGAAAGCACTTTTGAGACCCCCTTTTGTTCAGCTCTTGTATTGGATTTAGATTCTACATGCCCTCTGTTCAATTTGAGCCTTGCTGCAACTTAACTGCAACTTTTCTTTCAGGCAAACCAGGCAAGTGTTTAATATGCAGTGCCAAATGCCAAGTATCACCACTCTCCGACCAAGTAAGCATATTACTCCTCATTAAATGGCATCCTCAGGTGACTGTGGGGGATAACACCAGACTCTGTAATTGTAGAAACAGATTGATGTGATTTAAGAGTTCTCTTGTCATTACAGTCATGTCAAACATCTTTGTTTCAGAGCAGCTCAGAGGTGAAGGCCCTGTTTTCGGACATCAACGTTGTTGCAACCAAACACTTCACGGAAATCAGCAAAGTTTGGTCATTTTCTGTCTCATCATAAAATATTTTGTTACTTGTTCTTATATCAGTTCAGAATTTAAGTCTGCCTCAGTCAGTGCAAGATGGTTTGAGTTATTTGTTAGTGCAGACATCGCATAGCACTGAGTCCCTTCTTTTTTCAGGTTATAATGTTCCAGGCAAGACATCAAAAGAGACTGCTGACTTACTACCAGCAAAGGGTGAGAGACATCTGTGTTGCTGCAGTGGATGTTTGTTGTTGCGTGTGTGTTTCTTTGAGAGTTTGCTTTTCTTCATTTGGCAGCCAATAGACATTATTTTTTAAATTTTACTATGTCGAAAATCTGTGACATCTCTTAAACCCCCAGCCATGTAGAAAATTTGATTTAATTTGCATACTGTTTCATTTGCTGCTTGCTAAAATAGATTAAAAAAAAAAAAAAAAAAAACGCTACTTGCAGCAAAATATAATCACACCTGCATCACCAATCATTTTATCAATTACAGAATGGGAAACTCGAGGAGGCATTTGTCAAGATGAAGCAAGAAATGCAGCAGATGGCAAAGTAAGTGAAACAGTAATGCTTTTCATACATATTCTTAATATTCTTAATATTCTTAAATGCAGTTTATGAGAAGTTAGGTGCCTTTTTTATGCATTATTTTGTATTTGTTTCCCCTTAAAGGAAGCTGAATGAACAGAGCAACTACATCACTAAGCTGGAAAACTCTCTACAGCATCAGAGGTACAGCATAGGGTATATTCTTACTAAAGATAATCATGTTAGATACATGCTGATATTCTGATAATGGCTTTTAAAAGATGAGTAACCCATCTGAAAAACCATTTGTTGTATCACTTGTGTTACAATTTTATCCTTAAAATATATAACTCTATTCAAAATGTTTGTTAATGCTTGTAGTTTTGATCTATAGCTGGCAAGTTCTCCTACTTTAACAGCCACTTTGCTCCGTAATTCATCTTCAACTGTTTCACAAATGAGACTATCCTGAAAAATATGGTTTTTTTTCGAAAATATTTTGATGATGTTTCATAGTAATTTCTCTTCTTCTTAGATTCCTTTTTTAAATACAGAATCTAAACATTAAACATCACATGTCGTTCTGGATCAGTGATCGTAATGCTCATGAAATAAAAGACTTAAAATCAGGCTAAATGTGGATCTATGGAGTAAAACTTTGAGTTTGGCAGCAGCACAGTATGTGAAGTTATTCCCAACCAGGTGGCTGTTATTCCTCACCTCTCACTAGGTGTCACTCCTGGCACATCTACTCCTGGAAAGTTAGAACTACAACCAACACTGAATTTAAGAGGGACAGTTTTTAGTTTGGTTGTTTGTAAAGGCCTGAAAAGATTTAAAACACATTTTTAAAATTGTATTTCAGTGTGAGTTCTGCATTAAACATTGGCCACTATCTGAAGAATAATTTCAACAAATATTAACAGCCCTCAGTGTTAGAAAATATTATCCCCATAGAGCTACACATAATTTACCTGTAATTGAAGTAGTTTTAAAATAATGTTAAAAACAAACTAAATGTAGAAATACTGAAAGAGAAATCTCAAATTCTTTTTAAAGATTATTTAAATTAAATTATTTATAGATATTTGAACTATTTGTAGTTTCTATTTTTTTACTACTTCTCTATACTGGTTGTATATACCTCTTGTGTCATTTATTCTTTTTTGTTTTGCTATTATTTTACTTTGACTTCTCTGTCTGTACTTTCTGCTGTCTTTGTGTTGCTGCAACACCCGAATTTCCCCCTTGGAGACTGATAAGGGCTTATCTTATCTTGTCTGGGTTGAGTGCAGTTTGAAAGAAGAGTCTTCACCCATTCTCTCATTGTAGGATTCACTCTGACACCTATGTTAGAAGCAGCTGTGTCTGTTTATTTTAAACTCATTAACTTTCTTTATGACTTTTTTGTCTCAGTGCCAAAGTTTCATCAGTGCCTCAGATGAGCCACAGTTCCCATACTCCACATGGGCATAAATCAGGTAAACTGTAATCTCATAATTTTATTTCACTATTGTAGTGGTCATTGTAGACACTGTTAAATTATACAATGATCAAAGCAGGGCTGTAGTCAAAAACATTAAATTGGAGTCGAAGACAAGTCCGAGTCTGACTGTCTGTCTGTTCATAGTAAGAGTCAAATGTGCTATAACTTCAGTCAGTCAGTATAGTCCTTTGGATTGAGAAAAAAATGAAATGTGATAGAAGGACGCAAAGTAATTGTGACAAAATGTTGCACTATTTCCTAAAATTCTAACTCTAACCAAAGACTGTGGAAGGCGACATAAGGGGGCCAAGACAGAGACAAGTGTGAGATAGTAGAAAAAGTATTGTGACAACTGAGTACTAGTAATACAAAAAGATTACATCCCCAAAATAGTATAAATTTAACATTCAAGATGGTTCCGTTTCATACGGCTGACCAATAAAGACTACTCTTTGTTGCATAACACATTTTATACTAAAGTTTTTTCAGAAACATTAGTAAGAAATCACACAGCCAAGCAGGATGGGCTAGTGGCTGGAAAAAAACTAAACAAAATAACTGACCGACCATAAAACTGGCTCATGTCTTGTCTCTGTGGTTAAATCACTGAACCATGTATTTTATACATTCCCTGCATGACCGCTAATGTCTCATCATCATAAATAGTGTACTGTGGTTGTTAATGTTGTGTTTCCTGTTTGGTGTCAGTCCTACAGATCCCCTATAACTCCCCCGTGTCCCTCTCCAGACGCTCCTCAACCACTAATATGTGAGTATCCCTAACTGTTCCCAGTGTCTCTGAACATCTTTACCTTCCTTTTATGTTCATCTTTGATTTGCACTCTCTTTACCTCATCTCCATCTATGTTTCTTTTCACTCTGTCCTTCATTACGTCGCACCATACGAACGAGAGAGAGGGGGAATGTCGAAGGTATTTCACAGTGCAAACAAGCTATATCCTGGGTTCAGCCCCCATGTCTTATGTTAGCTTTAGCTGCTGTATAGCTTTGCCCTGCCCTGCGGTTATCTACACACACACACCTGAATAAGCTAAGCTTTGCTTGGGTTTAGTCAGGATTCTCTATTGGGTTTCTGAGACACCGCTGACACAGGATTGATTGTCTGCTTGAGTTTTAATAGCACAAATGTTGTTTTATCCACTGAGACTTTTGGTTCTTCTACTGTGCGGGTAGATGATGGACAGCGGATATTAACCCCAGTGCTGTGTTACCGCCTCGTCTGCAAGGTCAAAAAGTAAACAGATGATTTGAAAGGAATTGTAATAATAAAAAGTCATTTTAATTAAGAGAGCTTTTCGAAATATTTAGACTTTAGTGACTGGATTGAATTAAAAATCTGACCAAGTCTTGCAAAGAAGCACCAAGCCTTTCAATATTTCTCACGTTTTGGACAAATACATATGGTTTTAGTAAAATAATCTTTAAAACAAACATGTAATAATATTGAATAAACAACTATGTTAAATGAGTATTTTTCCCTTGAAACCAATGAATATATAAGATAATCTGATTTTTTCTGTTTAGAAGATTTTTTTGAATAATTGTTTTAAAGAAACTACCATTGACATGAAGTACATTATAAAGAATCTGTAAAGTAAAAATCAATGTAAAAGCATGGAATTATCTCACTCTAATGTAATAATATTTCAATCATCAACTTATTTTACATTAACTTCATTATTCACTGTGAAGTGTGCGGGGAATATGGTTTTGCATCCTTCTTAAAAACCAGTATTTCACAAAGTGAACATCTGCCTTTCTGATGAAACGATTAATGTTGCTGTTACATAGACGTCTGGCTTCTTATAAAGAAGTTTGTGCAGCACTGTGGTGCTCAGCCAACTGAACCCAACTCGACTAATGAAGCGTGCCCTCATGTCTTGCAGCGCTGAAAACATGGACGTGGATGAAAGGAGTCTGTTCAGGAAAGTAAGTGTCATAACGTTACCTGCAGTAAACTTCCCTTTCTGCTATACAGTTTGTGTACTGAAACGTATGAGCTCTGTCAAGATCATACAGCA